ATGAAATTGGAACACGTTGTACTTCGCATGGATGCCCCAGTTCACTTGTGCGAAAAAACTAAACGGTGTGCTTGCCCCGTTATATTTTCATAATATTTTGAAATTTAAAAAAGTGAAAAAAAGGAAAATATCCCTTTTCTTCTTCTCTCTCCTTTGTTCCTCCCCTCCCTCCTCTGCAACCTTAGAACCAACGAACCAGAACTCTCACTCTTTATCTCCCCTTCTTGTTCTCTCTTATTTCCCCATGTTTATTAACAATGCAACTAGTTGGAAACAGGCAATGACCTCCCAATCGAAGAGAGCACTAGTCAGCCTAGTCCCGTGACTCCCCATCTCTCTCTCTCTCTTTCTATCCCCTTCTCCTTCTTGCGGGAAGACCAAATCAGTCCACCATGCTCTATTTTTTTTCTTCATTGTCGTCCAAATCTATAAGATTCCATGACTTGTACCCCTGTTCAAGCTTGATCGAGCAAAGCTAACATATCCTAGCATTAAACTCTTCCATCACCAAAGTCATTGAAGCCCATGGAAGCCATCCCAGTTATCAAGTTTTTTTCTCAATGTTAGATGATCTCATAGGTTCCAAATCAGGTGCACCATGGTTGACAATCGACTTCATAAAAAGCTCAAACCCTTAAATTAACTAAGCTCATGGTCGGCGATTTCAGCTGTGGTGAAGAAGTCAGAGGACCCTGATTCCCCCAAATCTTGTGGTGAAAAGTCAAGGACCCATACCAGGATTTTATTTGATATTCGATATATTAGAGAAATATATGTTGAAATGAAGGATTTAGAGATGCTTCCCACCTTTGAACTGGCGACAAATCCATAATGTCATCATGGATTCCTTCTCTAAGTTTCAGATTCTACATTTTGTAAATCCCCAGTGTGCAGAGACTCTGAAATCCAGATATTCTTCACTTTTATTTTATAATCTTGAGTTTGAAATATTAACAAATGAAATAAAAGTGTGTATTTAGCCCACTTCTATTCGATGCCCTCAACGAATCATCAATCTCACCAGAAAACCAATGGTTAGTGATTAGCTTGATGAGCTTTGTCGGCAATACTTGCATAACTACTGATATCGTAAGCGAAGGCCTCCACCTCAGTAGTAGCCTTCTTTTCCACAACAACAAGGTGTTTGGTTCCGTTTACATTTATTTACTAAACGTTTTGTACTAGTGTGACTGCAAAATGGAGAAACACATTTAATTATGGTGTTTATGACACATAGGCGCCATTAGGCACCACATCAGCAAAATGCCAATAAACATCTACCCGCTTCCTAAAACAGGAGAGGCGCACAGAAACCGAAGTTTGCTTTTGCAAACTTCGACATACACAAATGCAATTAATGAGACATTTGCTGATGGAGCGCCTATGTGGCACCGCCAATAAATCTTTACTCATAAATGTAAATGGAACCAAATATATACAATTATGTACCTCAACTGCTCCGACATTTTATTGCGATCACCATTGGATTGTTCGTCCACAAGCCTCTACAAACACCTACATAAACAATACTGGTGAGGCAACGCCATGTGAAAATGCTTCCAATCTGTTGTGTAGTTTTAGGACTGGTGGATCCACCACCGCTCATATGATTAGGGTTTAAGATGCATAACCTACATTTTACTTTTTTTTTAAAACTAGTAGGGAACTCATGTGATGCATGGGAAAACCCAACGTCTAATTTGCTGGTAAAAATGGTCAAAAGGATATATTGAATGTCGACTCCAAGTAAATTTCCAAAATTATATATACTAAATTATTGATTTTTTAAATATATTAAATAATTTATTTTATTTTTTTAAATATATTATTTACAAAATTACAATAATTTATCTTTTATTTTTCAATATAAGTTAATTAATAATTTCCTTTTCTAAAATTTTCCAATATTATACTAATTTATATTAATAACAAAAACAATTTGTGTAATTATTGGTTCAGATTAACGTCTTCCTTTACCAATACTAATTTATCTTTAATAATTTAAAATGAAAATCACACAATTTTTAAATAATTTTCGAAAATCTATCAAATGTAATAAAAATTCCCAAATTTCAAAATATTCCAATAATTTTCAATAATTATTTACTACATTTTAAAGAAAATTTCCAAAATTACATTAATATATATTTTTTTATTTTCATCTCCAAAATTTTCCAAAATTTTCCAAAATTATGATATTTTTTTTTGCCAATTTGCAAACTCCACCAACTCTTTCCTAGAGATATAATTGTTGATTTTTTTTTTCAATTTTACAATTTTTAATTAATTTTAAATGATATTTATAAAGAAATTATTGGTTGAAAATTTTGTATATTCATTAATTTCTACTATTTTTTTGGAAAATAACACAATTTAATTGTTAGTTTAATAAAATTAATTTTCAGAAATTGTAACTAAATAAAACATTTATTATAATGATTACTCTATTTAATTACTACACCAAAAAATTAATTTAACTAAACTAATAATTATTATTAGAATTACAATTATTTCAAAATTACTGTAATTACAGTATTTTGAAAATAACAAATTTTAATATAATAATTAATGTAACTTAATAATTATTATTACACTAATAATAAAATTACGTTAATAATTTTCTGAAAATGTAATAAGATGGAAATATATTTTAATGACAGGGGTATAAATGGAAGAATGAAATCAGGGTCCTTTAATTATTTACTATTTTTTAAAGAAATTTTCGAAAATTACATTAATATATATTTTTTTATTTTCTTCTCCAAAATTTTCCAAAATAATGATATTTTGTTTGCCAATTTGCAAACTCCACTAACTCTTTCTTGGAGCTATAATTGTTGAATTTATTTTTCAATTTTATAAATTTTAATTAATTTTAAATGACATTTATAAAGAAATTATTGGTTGAAAATTTTGTATATTAATTGATTTCTAGTAATTTTTCTGGAAAACAACACAATTTAATTGTTAGTTTAATAAAATTAATTTTAAAAAATTGTAACTATAGTAAAACATTTATTATAATGATTACTCTATTTAATTACTACACCAAAATTCCAATAATAATTATTAGTGTAATAATTATTTTGAAAAATAATTAATTTAACTACACTAATAATTATTATTGGAATTACAGTTCAAAATTACTGTAATTACAGTATTTTGAAAATAACAATTTTTACTATAATAATTAATGTAACTTAATAATTATTATTACATTAATAAATTTCTGAAAATGTAATAAGATGGAAATATATTTTAGTGGAAATATATTTTAATGACAGGGGTATAAATGGAAGAATGAAATCAGGGTCCTTTAATTATTTACTACATTTTAAAGAATTTTTCCAAAATTATATTAATATATATTTTTTATTTTCTTCTCCAAAATTTTTCAAAATTATGATATTTTGTTCGCCAATTTGCAAACTCCACCAACTCTTTCCTGGAGCTATAATCGTTGAATTTATTTTTCAATTTTATATTTTTAATTAATTTTAAATGACATTTATAAAGAAATTATTGGTTGAAAATTTTGTATATTCATTGGTTCCTAGCAATTTTTCTGGAAAATAACACAATTTAATTGTTAGTTTAATAAAATTAATTTTAAGAAATTGTAACTATAGTAAAACATTTATTATAATGATTACTCTATTTAATTACTACACCAAAATTCCAATAATAAGAAATTATAACTATAGTAAAACATTTATTATAATGATTACTCTATTTAATTACTACACCAAAATTCCAATAATAATTATTTTTTTCAAAATAATTATTTACTACATTTTAAATAAAATTTTCAAAATTACATTAATATATATATATATATATATTTATTTTCTTCTCCAAAATTTTCCAAATTATGATATTTTTGTTTGCCAATTTGCAAACTCCACCAACTCTTTGCTGGAGCTATAATCGTTGAATTTATTTTTCAATTTTATAAATTTTAATTAATTTTAAATGACATTTATAAAGAAGTTATTGGTTGAAAATTTTGTATATTCATTGATTTCTAGTAATTTTTCTGGAAAATAACAAAATTTAATTGTTAATTTAATAAAATTAATTTTAAGAAATTATAACTATAGTAAAACATTTATTATAATGATTACTCTATTTAATGACAGGTGTATAAATGGAAGAATGAAATCAGAGTCCTTTCACGATAACATTGAGCCATTCTTATTTTTATTAATGGGTATGATTTTAAAAATTTATGAAAATATAATAGAGCAAACAGACGGGCCTCCATGCGAACTGCAACGTGTTCCAATGTCGTTGTAAGTGTATTACGACACATACCAAACGAGTGCAGAAAATCCGATGTCAGTTTTCTAGCCCATCTAAATTGGGAGTATTTTGTGGTATTATACATTTTGTTTGTAACACGGGCTACACTGCAAAGGATAGATTCCAATCCAACAGTCCAAAGTCAAGGTGCATTATGTCATCCCCAGTCTCCTTTGTGCTTACCGGAAAAAATAATCTGGAATCTATGGAACAACAACTCGCAGACGCAGATTAAAAACTCGCGAAGGCAGAGAATAATACCAGGTGGCAGGTGCATACACGTGTGCAGTAAAACTAAGCCCTTGTAATGGGTTAAGAAACCCGTTTTAAGCGGTACACGTAAATTACGCAAGCATCGGATAACTCGAGGGCTTCAACTCAAAAAGGTTTCTCTTGTATGTCTTCCATGCACACCATTGACTCCGTATGCAATGCTCAAGGAGTCGAGAGCTGCATACTCTACCTTTTGATGAAAATCATCTAAACCGTTCATTGAGGCTCGCCTCCACAAAACGACAAAACCCAGCATAAATGTCTTCGACCATCTGGTTATAAATCTCATGCATGATCATACGTGGCAACTTATTATGCACTTATAGCCATCGGGTGTGATTATGAACGTTGGTTTTAATATTTTATACTAGAAAAAAAAGTAAAATACACCGAAAGAAACCCTCCCTCTCTTTCTCTCTCCAACATTTGTTTGTTCAAAATTGTTCTCTCTCCATAAATTTTACAGATTAGGGTTTTCTTCACGTCTCTGTCTCTTTATCGGAGTGCCCAAACTTGTCCGAACTCGAGGTAAGGACCCTAATCTAATTCTTTCGTTTCGATTTTGGATGTGTTTCTTTAGTATGCCCTAATCTGTGAAACGATGAAGTGAAAACCCTAGAGCTAGACATCTCTCGAAGCTCTCTAAAACAGAAGTTGTCGTCATGGACGAGGGTGACGGGGAGTTCGGGGACGGTGGAGATCGTAACGAGGACCAGTTCCTTCATAGGAACGAGGCGATCTCCGCCGTGGCCGACGAGGGTTTCTTGGGGGAGGAATACGACGACTACGAGGATCTCTACAATGACGTTAACGTCGGCGAAGGGTTTCTTCAGACCCTCCGCAGGAATCAAGAGGAAGACTTAGGGTTCAGAACTCAGGAGGAGGAGGTGGAAGTGGATAAGAAGATTGACGTGTCCGCGGCAGAGTCTACGGGGGTTTCAGTCCCTGGTGTTAGTGGTGAAGCGAAGGTTGAGAAGGGTGGCGATGGGTCTGTTGTTGCTTCTAGGGTTCCTGCTAGGGTAGAAGGTTATCAAGATTTAGGGTTTAGAGGAAATGAGATGGCTTCTAAGGGATCTGGTGGTGGTGGTGGAGGAGGAGGCGGAGGTGGGATTAAGGTTGAATTGGGTCCGTCATCATCATCCTGTAAAATGGGTGAAACCCGGGGGCATATTGACAGCAATAGTAGTGTACCATCTCAAGGAATAGGGCAGCCGCAACAGCAGCAGCAGCAACATTCTCAAGTAGTAGGTTCAGGAAATGTAGGGCATGATGGTTTTGGAAGGCAAGGAGGAATTGGAGGGGTAGGAGGAAATGTTAACGGAATTGGTGGTAGTGGGAATGCCAGTGGTGGGGCAAGTGGGGGTGGTGGGACCATTCTCTTTGTCGGTGATTTGCACTGGTGGACGACGGATGCTCAGCTCGAGGCAGAGCTCACTAAGTACGGTCCTGTGAAGGAGGTGAAATTCTTTGATGAGAAGGCGAGTGGGAAGTCCAAAGGTTATTGCCAGGTTGAGTTTTATGATCCTGCTTCTGCTACGGCTTGCAAGGAAGGGATGAATGGGCATATCTTTAATGGACGGCCGTGTGTTGTGGCCTATGCTTCCCCATATAGTGTTAGGAGAATGGGAGAGGCCCAGGTGAACAAGAACCAACAGATGGCTCAGACATCTCTTTCTCAAGGACGGAGGACAGTTGGTGATGCTGGAGGACGAGGTGGTGGCAACAGCATTGCTACTGGTGGGAATTATCAGGGTGGTGATGGTGGTAGAGGTTATGGAAGGGGTAATTGGGGAAGAGGTGGTGCCCAAGGAGTGGGAGGTAGAGGGCAAGTTGGGCCAATGAGGGGCCGTATTGGTGGTGGGATGGGTGGAAGGGGTATAATTGGCAATGGTGGCAGTGGATTTGGACAGGGGCTTGCAGCAACACCACCATTGTTACATCCTCAAACAATGATGGGTCAGGGATTTGACCCATCTTATGGGGCACAGATGGGGAGAATGGCCGGTTATGGAGGTTTCCCAGCTGGACCAACACCTCCTTTTTCAGGTATATTGCCTTCTTTCCCTCCTGTTGGTGGTGTAGGATTGCCAGGAGTGGCTCCTCATGTAAATCCGGCTTTCTTTGGAAGAGGCATGCCTGCAAATGGTATGGGTATGATGCCTACAACAGGTGTTGAGGGACATGGAATGGGAATGTGGTCAGACCCAAGTGCAGCTGCATGGGGTAGTGATGAGCATGCAGGTAGGGCAGGAGAATCTAGTTATGGGGAGGATGCTGCGTCAGACCACCAGTATGGAGAAGTAAGCCATGAAAGGGGTGGGTGGAGTAATGCAACGAAGGAGAAAGAGAGGGCTCCGGAGCGAGAGTGGTCTGGGGCATCTGACAGAAGGTATCGAGATGATAGAGAAACAATGGCAGATAGGGATATGTCTAGGGAAAAAGACATAGCCCATGCTCATGATTGGCCAGAGAGAAGGCATCGTGAAGATAGAGAAACAGTTAGAGATCGTGATCGTGATCGTGATCGTGACCGGCACCGAGACAGGGACAGAGAACGGGATCGAGACCGTGATCGTGAGCGAGATCGAGATCGGTACAGAGAGGATAGAGACAGATACTTGGATCACCATAGATACAGGGAACGCGAATCTGAGCAGGATGATGAGTGGGACAGAGGACGTTCAAGGACTCACAGCAAGTTACGCCTATCACAAGATGAAGACCGGCGTTCAGGATCGAGGGATGCCGAATATGCTAAGAGAAGACGACCCTCAGAGTAACTAAAATGCTCTGAAGCTTCTTTGTTAGTCCTGGTATTCAGCACCAGAGGACAATCTCTTTATGCTTCTTTGCATTTTCCATTACAGTTCTCTGAAAGGTCTTGATCAGCTATTTCCTTTGCCTCCTATTTTGACTTCATTGCCTAATATATCTTGCTGAAGCTTATTCTTGCAGGAGAGCGGTTTGGTTTTCATAATGAACCAAGTAAGTTAAACATTCTGACCTGTTTCCAGTTGTTCTGCTTGTTATTCTGGCTATGTAACCATGCTTGCACACCCTTTAATGTGCACATGCTGCCATTAGTATGTCTATTTTTCATTTACATTATTGCCAGTTAACATGCAATAATTTTTGGAGTAGCTATTTGTGAATGCACACACTGCAATCAAATTCTGGTACATTGATGACTGATGAGTCTTTGTTTTGTTCGCACAAGTTTCATGTGAATAGATATAGCTGTTTCTTAGTGACACCAAATCATACAATATCTGGATTTTTTTTTTCCTATTAGACAAAAACTATTTCTGGAGAACATTTAGGCAAAATTTGGGGAAAAAAGACATACAACACTAAAAAATTCAGATAATCTATCTAACCCATTAATTGATTGACTGACTTGTGCACTTTGTTTTTATAGATATTCTTTTTAAGTTCAAGTTTTAAGGACCCTCATCCTCTACAGTAGTACAGTTATGCAATTTATAAGAAAAGTTGTTCTAACTGGTGTTGTTGACTTGCATTGCTTCTGCAAATTTTTTTAGTTGTCAGTTGGATAAGCTTGGATTTTGATATTCTACAGCTACTTTTGTCCTTTTAACCTGATATTGTTTTTCAGAGCTAGCTTGATAATCCCTTGATTTTGGTTTTTAGCTTTTAATTGATTTTAAGCTTTTTAAAAGCTCAAAAGATGAAAGAACATTTTGTGGCCCCACTTATTTGCATTAATAATTTGAGTTTTACACTGTTCATCCATTAAAAAGCAACAAAAGTAGCAGTACATGACATACATAATCTGTAGAACACATGGAATAATTTGATACTCTAAGCTTTTAATGTGCTTCATAGCTCAATGCTAATATTTGTGATGTAATGGAAATAACTGTACTATTTAATTATTTATAAGGCAAAAGGGCCATGCAAACAATGCAAAAGAAAAAGGCCCCAACGCCATTCCTTCATACATGGCAAAGGCAATTAAGAGTAAATGATACTACTGCATCTGCCTAGTGTTGTGATTATGAACACTAGGAACACTAATAACCCAACTCTGGTACAGCACAGTAAATTAGATCTAAAAATCCATAGCATCCGACTCTTGCATTCGTATTTATCCATTAGTTCATGCCTAGCTGACAGATGTTGTCAATCTCCGTGTTGCCACTCATGCACCTCAATATACCTGTGGCCATTGTCTCCATGCTGGCCCAAGTGAAGCTGTTTTTTGTAAGCCTATTGCAGGCATCATAAGAAAAATGACAGGCGTCAAATATGCCATCATAACTTGTATCTAATATTTGAAATGTGTAGGACAGTGGTACTATTAGCATCCAAAAATTTCTGAAGCCTTTCTCATCCATGGTTTCATCCTTCCCTTTCCACATGCACATTTGGCTCTGTAATCAAACCCAGTATTAACTGTATTGCATCATATATGCATTGCTAAATAAAAATATCACCACTACAATTGAATGTGAATAAGATAAAGGGATAGCTCATTACAGACCATGATAAAAGATTCTCCATTACAAATAAAAGAATTGAGCCAGATCTAATCACCTAATAATGTTATCATTACAAATTAGAGAAGCCCTGAAGAAATTAGTAAGGCATATGAAATTGAATATGGATGCTTGTTCCGAAATTATCAAGTACCTTATTTCAACGATAAAAAAAATCTTGCACTCCTGATTAGCCTTTATTTCCAAGAGAAAATCCATTGAAATTAAGTTATATTTTTTCCTTTTTTGTGGTTCTCTTTTCAAGTTCCATCTGCTGCCTATGAAGAAGCAAAGAAGAAAATGCTTTCTTGCCCTCAGTAAAGCACCTTAGGGATTCCTTTTGATTCATCGTTCATGAGAATCCAGGCTGCTATTCACCTTTATAAGTTCAATATAATTGTATTAATTTCAACTTTCTTGTTATCAAATGTTTTTGAATTCCTTTCACACCTGACACTTCAAAGTACAATTGCTCTACTCCTTGATCATAACATCAAATAAAGTTCTTTTCTTCTATTGTTACCAATAATAAAAAAAATTGATACCTGATGATTACCCAAGTATTTTTAATTAATTAAAACCAATAAAAAAGTATTGTTACTTAAACAACATATAATCCGAGAACAGACAATCCATCGTTATACATAGATAATCCAAGAATAGAATGTGAAGTTTTCCAAGGTTAAGGGGAGGAGAGAATCTTCCTTTGCTTTCTGCTCTACTATATCTAAAATCATCCTAATTCTCTTCCTGATGTTCTGAGAGAAGCGTAATCTGACTGTTGCTCAATTCACATCTCATGTTTGATACTTTGATTTAAGAAGAATATATTTTAACTGCAAAGGAAAAGGATCAGTTTTGTCAGTTTCAATTTATTGGGTCTGCTTCTATCAAGTTGTTTTGTTGTGTTTCATGTCTTAATTTTATACGTTTGCCCCTTGCTTTCCCTTTTCTTCGATTCTCATTTCTTGTTTTTTTCTCAATTACTCTCATGAATTGGCATCATGGGGAATTGGCTATTTTATTTTTTCCATCAACTTTCATGTAGTGCATGCAATTCAATGCTTATTTACAATGCCCTTTCTAAACCCATTTCCTCGAGGAAGAATTTTTTGGAAATATTTTTCGTTGTTGGTACTTCTTTGCACTGTTGGGATGGATTCTTTAACCTTTCCAAATTACATTCTTGAATCTCGATAACATTCCAGAAATTAGACCCTAAATCTGATGCAGACACTCGAGCAAATTTAGGTAAATTGAGCACCCAACCAGTGACAGCTCTTCCAATAGATGCCACAATCTTTTTCTAACTCCCACTGAATATCTTCAAACGTTCTCCTGTTTTTCTCTCCAAATGGACCAACAGACAGCAAATGGTCAGCAAAAAAAAAAAAAACAAACAAAAGAACGCTACTAATGAATCACAGGGCCTCAAATCTCAGTAGTACCAGTTTCTTCCCTCTTCCAATTCTTCATCAGATGTGTTGATTTGTTTTTAACTCTAGAAAGCAACTTAGCAACATAAGCAAAATCTAGAAAGCAAGAGGGCACTAGCCAAGTTTGCATTGAATGTACATGGGACTGTAGTTGTCAGAATCTTAAAATTTAGCACATGATTCATTATTCAAATCACGAATCCCAGGGGTTTCTGTATGAATCTTATGATCAAAATTTTCTACAAAAATCTTAAGATTATTGTTTGAATCCTATGATTCGGTTCTTGAATAGATTTATATGGTTCATGTAATTTGGATCAATTCAACTGAGACTAATTCTTTATCTGTCATTCATGGTGATTTAAAAGGCATGCCTCAGGCACACTTAGGCACACAGGCCAGGTGCATTTCAGGGTATGCTTCTCGCCTAGGTCCTAGGCACAGCCCTTCCAAAAGGTGCACGCCTGGTGTGCCTAGGCATGTGCTTGATGTGCTTTGTGCCTTGGCCCAGGCATGTGCCTTTTGAAAATTTGACGCTTTTTTGCTTTTTTTGAACATAACGGCTGGCTGGAGCTCCGAGAACCCCTAATTTGGTAATGTTGTTCATTCATTCATCCTAATAAAATGCCTTCTTAAAAAGCAATTAAAACTATAAAATCATTTTTTTTTTGTGCAAAAACTAAGAATTTAAGACCTAACGTGGACTTGTTTGGACTTGCCTTGAGGGGTGTGGCACAAAGGTGGCTCATAGAATCAGGAATATAATATGCTTTACATTACATTAGCTATGTGAAATAATGCAATTGAGTGAAAAGAGAGATTAAAGGTTTTACATTCTTGAAAATGTTTTATATGTTTGATTTTATTTTTAAGTTCTCATTTGAATATGCTTTACATCTTATGTTTATGTATTTTAATTTTAGATAATAGTTTTTTTTTTAAATATAAGTTTATATTTTTTATTAATATTATGTTTAATATTTTTTTTGGCATTTTTTTGAAATTTCTGACATTTTTTGGTTTTTTAGCTTTTTTTTTTTTGTATTTTTGCGCCTTGCTTCAGAAAGGCGCATGCCTCACTTTGCGCTTCAGGCAAAAATTGACCACTGTGCCTTTTTTGCGTCTTGCGCTTTTAAAACACTGGTCATTCCTTAAGGCTCAGTTTGGAAGGAGTACAAATACAAATATGTAGTGAAAAGCATTGTATTTTGTATGTATTTGCACTGTACATATTTGTATTTGTACTCTTTCCAAACTCATCCCAAGGGGCTTTTGTTTTAAAAGTTAAAACTTTTTTCTTCTATTTGTTAACAATTGTTTCTTTATTAATATGAGACCAACTATGATAGCGAAAATGTATGATAGCTAAAAAACTAATAGCCTAATACCAATTAATCAATATCATAAAAGTGGTATCCAATTGACTGGTATTCATTAAAATTCATTGTGTAGGGGTGGGATACTGATTGGTCAAAGTTCTTCTGGTATCATAGCCTTTAGGTATCATAGAATAGGATAAAATAATTTTTTTATATATAAAAAAGGTCACTACCCAATGTTTTTTTTATTTATTTTTTGAAAAGTGGGTCACTACCCAATGTTGGTCCCAGCTATCTAAGGTCTTGAGAGGGGTAGACTAGATACTGTCCTAACCTTTGGCTAAAGTAAAATAACTTTCCTATATATTTAAGTTTTTAGTACATCTGTTTTATTTCTTTTTACAGATAAAAATGAAAAACAGAAATAATCTTACAACTTACATATGATTTTTGAGTCGGTTTGATTTGATATTCTCTACAATTTACAACACAATTGTGATTTCAAGAACTTTGCTTGGACCAATAATCTTCTGATGTGGTGTAGTGGATGAGATGCTAGCGTCTGGTAAATCTATGTTGATAATAACTTGCAGATTAAATAAGAAAACAAGGCACCGAAACTTTTACCTGTTAATTGACTAATATGTACAGAGATGGAAACTGCTAAATATTGATAAGGGAGTGTTTTTTTGGTTCATATTTGGTCTTTTTTGTACAACTAGTTGGGCAAGTGACCCCTTCTGCAAGACTATATTTCTCAAAAACCAGGAAGCAAATGGTATTTTATGTGATATGTTTCTATGTGCCTCTACTTCCATTTATCAGAGCTATTATTTCTAATAATTCTGATTCATTAAATCAAGGGAGGTTTTGTTGTAAGATGTGTCAAGCTATATCATTTTTGCATCTTCTTTTACAAAATAATGCACAAATTATTAAGGGTTAAGTGAATAATTTGTGAAAATAATGAGCTTTTACTCTAGAAGTATATATGCTGTATTTTCTGTGTTGATAGTGGTGTTATATCATTTGACATAGGTGTTATATCATTTGTCCTACTATGGGGTTGTTAATGTCATATGATTGTCATCTTCAAGTCTACCATCAACCTAATAAGACCATGTATGTGCATCTATGTTTTTGATTTCAAAGATTTTCCATATATAGGAAAACATTGCTATTCTACTAAGGACTGATTGATTATACAATTTGGGTAAAATTGTAGCACATCTACCCCATCAATGCAGCTATTAAGGAGCTGACCCACTACTCAAATTGACTAGTTTGCTAAAAAATAAGCATTAAACTTTTTAGTTGAGGGGTAATTCCAGTGTTTATCAAATGGCTCTTAATAGAGTGACTGTTTTCCTATAAACTTTCATAGTCGCTTAATTTGTTCTGGCATTTCACAACTTCTAAACAGCTTAACATGTGATTCTTCTTCCATATGGTCTCATATAAAAGTTCAACCACCCCCATTATGAGGTGGTGTGTAAATGCTTTTGTAGCTTCATTGCTATGTTAGAACACTCCTTTGTTCAGTTGCTTTTACACACCTCATAATAGCAATATCGGCCAATACGTTAAAATCCCTACAAACCAGCTAAAATCATATTTTACCCAAAGATCCTGCCCCATCTTATTTTTCTGAAACCTTTTGGACATAATAATGTGATGGAAACTACAGTTCATAATTTATATTGACATTAAGTGCACTTAATTTGGAAGTTGATAGCTAATATCTTTTTTTTTTTTTTTATCAATATTGATAGCTAATATCTTCTGGAATTTTCTTTGTTATTCTTTAGATAGCATTGTGATAAATCTTACTTCTAGATGCAAAATGTGAACCGATACCTAGAAACAAAGTCGACAAGTCTATTGGCAGTCATTCCCATTTCCTCCCCCTAGAAATAAATCTGAATGCAGGGACTTTTCCCCATTTGAGGAGGTCCCTTGGCATGAAACCTTTTTGACAAATTGGTGGTCAGGCGGCACAAACAACCTTTGGATGCACTGGCACTTTGTTAATTTACATACGAGCTGTTAATGTGAAAGTTTATGTATTTGACTGCCTTTGATCTCAAATGGTTCAATCTTTTTGCTTTTTCTCTTTGGATGCACTGGCACTTTGTTTGAATGCGTGGTATTTGTGATAGTTCTTGACTACTATTTCTGTCTGCAGATTTGAGGGCATATGGAGCATGGGAAGTGAGGCTGTTGCGCGTTGTTTCTCCTTGCCTCTGGAATTTTAATTGGATTATCGTCCAGCTTGGGCAAAGAGATGATGGGGTTGGGGGGAAGCATTGGCTGTACTGTTTAGACATTGATAAATTAACTTTGTTTCTACTATTTTTTGTCCCATTCTCTAGTTTATCCTCCGGATTTCTGTTTGGGTTAACACCTTAAGAACTGACCAAATGGGAAGTGCTCATGGGATAATGTTGTAGTTTTTTGTTTTCTTTTTTTTTTTTTTTTATTATAGAGGTGACCATTTAAAATATGAGACGTCATACGGTTTCGGAGGTTGTTTTTACTTTTATATGTGCCCTTTCAATGTGTACTTCATGGTTATTATGCTGTTCTATTTATTTGTTTATTTCTTTTTGGGAGGGCGTGGGGGAGTCGTTATCATGTTGGCTCCCGCAATGTTCAACGAAAATGTAAAAAGAAAAAGCAAATGATTCATTGAATTAATGCAATACAATGGCAGATATGACAAATTTACTCTGCATTTTCTTGTATTGAAAGTTGATACTGAATCATGGTGATGTTGTTTCTGTTCGAGCTAAATTTTTTAATACCATATGTGCCTCCTTTTTCTCGCAGATCAAGTCTGTCCAGTAGTCTCCTCATCTTTTTAACAGTTTGTTATATTCACCATTTTTCTCTATTTTTCCTATTCCCATCCCTTTGGCCGCCTTACTCCTCGAGGGAGAATCAGAAAGTTCTTTGCCTGCGCAGCAATTATGATTTGCTGTAGATTGAAACAAGGAAGCTTGTTTGGTGTAATCCAGATCCAGATCTGTTGAAGGATTTTGGAATTTGAAATAAAATGAGGTGGTTTTACTTTGAGCCTTCCCACAGTCCATGGATGAAAAGCTTCAAATGACGATGCTGGTTGCCCTGAATCCAGATTTCCCGCTCACTTTCCTTACCCACGCCCTACCCACAGTACACTGCAGCCCCACACATCTCGCAATACGAGGCAATATGTGGCTGCAATTCAAGGTGGGTAGAGTGTAGGTATAGAGTTGTGGACAGAAAATCTGGACGTGCGTTGGGTCAAATGAGTACCATACTCTTCGACACTGTCGTGTTGCCATGGAAACATGTTACATTAAAATTTCATCAAGGCTTATACTTGGTTCTTTTCGCTTGTTTGCTTTTAGAGAATTGAAATTCTAACTTTCAAACATGAGTTCAGAACCAAACTGATGTTTGTTTCCTCTTTAACTCTTTCTCTTAGGAGGAATTTTATAACTTTAAGAGGAAAATGGGTGTTAGTTTCCTCTTATTTCTTACCTCTTAAAGAGGAGTCTTACAACTTTTTGTTTTTTAATGATACCCTAAAAACACAAACAAAAATTCTCTATAGGATTAAAATGAATATTTGACAAATTTCAGAATCCAAAAATCAGAACAATATTCTCTACATTCAGAGTTTAGAGGAAAAAAAGTTCACCAATACTAATATGCCTCTTAAAGTAATTACTGCACTTTCAAATGTCAGACATTAGAACAAACTAGCAGGCCCACTTTAGTAACATTATTTTTCTCTCTGTGGAACTTTTTTAAAACCCAACTCTAGCTTTACATGCCAAATCTCAATATCTGTTATTGTTCAAATCTGTGATAATAATAATAACTATTATGATTTAAAACTTCAATTCTTCAAATTAATTTCTTTTCTGTATTCTATTGAATGGGAAAATGTGAAACATGATTTCGTGGGCAGAGTCTGGAGCATGGTTTTTAAAACCGACCCAGCAACCGAATTGGTTAGGGGTCCAGTTACCGGGTCAAACGGTTGACCCGTTCTGACAAAAATAATTTTAAAATTTGAAAAACGGTCAAAACCGTTCAAACGGTTAACCGACTGGTTCAGCGGTTTACTGACCAAAATCAACGATTTTGGAGAAAAATGGAATCGGTCAAGTAACTAGTTCCCGGTTTTTCTGATCCGACTGTCCGGTCCAGTCCGGTTTTGAAAACCATGGTCTGGAGCTCCTTTTTTCATGAGAAGCAGAGACTATTGAAGTTTTGGTAACTGACCATGTTATGAAAGGGAGACAGTTAAGTGAAATATGTGGGTTTGTATTAGATAGATAATGACGACGATGATAATGATTTCAACATTGAGAAATGCACAAATTTTCGACCGACTTCCATTCTAACCAGTTCTGAATGTCCATGGCAGTTCCCAAAACTGCTGACAAAAAATTTATAGTAGCTGAATCACTTTCTACTATCAAGTTCTGAATGTCCATCTGCATCGCAAGCCTTAGACCATCCATCACTTTGTATACTTCTGCTTTGGCATTGCATCCTTTTCTAACATATTTTTGATGGGCTGCAATTGCCATCCCAGTATGATATCGGAATACTCATTTGGTTTGTATAATGTTCCATATTTGGGATCTGATTACAATACATATCTGGTATTTGGTCAATGTAATAAGGGTTGTTTACTTCTTTACCATTTTGGCATAGAAAACAATTTTGATTTAATTGCATGCCTTGCTGAGCCAATATTTCTCGGGTCGGGATAACTTTGGCTGTTGGCCAAGAGCGTTTATGGGTTGGCCATGTTCACCCATTCACGCCCACGTCTATTTTTTCGGTCAGAAAATCAGAAAAGAAATAGGGGGTAATTACTATTTTATCCTGTGGCATTTCTAAGAATGTTCTCAACAGCATATTAATTAGTGTGTTCACCATAATCCGGACCAGAGGGCAATCTCACTTGGTAGTGGAAATTACACAAGTGTGTTTACCCACTCAAATGGAAGTTACTTGTACTCTCAAAAAATTTAGTCGTAACTAATATCAAGGGAAAATTCTCGATTTATATTATGTACTTTGGTTCTAGTGCTATTTTGGTCCTCGAAACTTAAAATACAATAATTCAGTATCCTGACTTTCAAAATGTATTAATTTAGTATGTACCGTTAACCAATTTATTGTTGCTTCTTGACACATGGTTACTAAATTATAAATTATAATATATCTTCTAGTTCAACTTCACTTCTAATGAGGATGCTAATTTCCATTAGAGCCCCCAAAGGACAAACATGTAACCACACGTGCTGGGAAAGACACTCATCAACTCCTTCTTTTAAGGAACAAAAGTGAACTTGAACTCTCCATATCCTTTAATTTGCCATTATTTTTAGATTAATTTAAGGGGTAATAGTATATAAGGGCAACTTTTGGGGTTTAATATCAATAAAAGTAATATATTTAAAAATTTTTCAAAAATAGGTTAATTTTTTAAAAATAATATCAATAAAGGTTCTTCTTTTCATTTGTTTATCAGAGACGCCGTCTGCTGCCGCCCGCCGCTGCCTCCGCCCACCTCCACCTCCGTCTCCGGCAACGTTGTCGGAGGTGGAGGCAGCGGCGGGCGGCAGTGGACGGTGACTCTAGTGAACAAAATGACAAAAAATGAACAGTATTTTTACCCTTTATTGATATTATTTTTAAAAATTTAACTTATTTTTGAAACTTTTTTAAATATATTACTTTTATTGATATTAAACTCTAAAAGTTGCCTTTCTATGCTATGGAAAAGATATGGTATGAAAAGAGTTTTGACGAATCAAAACCCACCCATGAATTTTGATAAAATAACACTTGATTCACTATCAAGTTTATGATTCCATATGATTAGTCAGATGCTTCCAAAAATATAAAGAGTATAAGAAATTGGCCCATGCAGGTCTCGAACCTGCGACCTTCGCGTTATTAGCACGACGCTCTAACCAACTGAGCTAATAGGCCCTACCATGCAATCAATACAATGACAAATTGTAGATAATAGGTTGGAAATTTGGAATATTCTTTCAATTAGTTTCTATGTTGGTACTGTTTCTTTCAATACGGTGGACGGTGGTGTTATCCCTTGCAAATTGAAATTAAAGAGGCGTTGCCATAAAAAAATAAAGAGTTGTTAATCCTACCGATTTTTTAATATATATTACACGCTGAAAAGAATGCTAGAGTGAAGGATAAATTCTTGCTTGTCTATTGATTTATTCTTGTTTAGTTTCACTGATAAGTGTGAGGATCATTTTCATATTCCTTTTTGATTGATTAAGTGCATTGGAACTTCATCCACCACCCTTAATCCTATTAATTAATAATATTAGGCTATATACTTCGTTATGGGAACCAATTGGCCTGTACAGCTTCTGGATCTTATGTTTACAACAAATTAAACCTCAACCCCATATTCAGCCAGGGTTAGAATTTTTAGGCTTAAAGTACATTTGGGGTAGGTGATAGGTCGGAATTGGTGCTAATTTACTGGCAGGTATAGATCCATAGAATATGAGTTTTTGTCATTTTGAATGTTTATAGATTTGTGTAAAATTCAGAAATCTGCATTAGGCCTATCCGTACTTTTTCTGTTTATTATATCAATGTTCTAAGTTTTATAGATCATTGAAAAGTTGGAAATGATACCTTTGATTTAAACCTCAACCCAAGAAGAATATTGACCCAAACTAGAAGTACCAAATTAATATCCTTGAATCCCATACATATACTCATGGTTTTTAAAACCAAACCGGACCGGAGGATCAGACTGAAAAAACTGGGAACTTGTCAGGTGATCGGTTTCATTTTACTCCGGAACCGTTTTTTCCCCAAAAATCATTGATTTGGTCAGCAAACTGCTGACCCGAGTGGTCAAACCATTCGAACCGTTTAATGGCTTGGCTGATTTTTTTTTTTTTAATTTCTTATTTTTTGTCAAAATGGATTGTCTGTTCAGTTCGAACGATCGGACCGTTCGACCTTCGAACCGGACCCCTAACCGATTCTGTTTTAGAAGCCTTGCATATATACTAGGGAAGAAACAAGTGGCAACTCTTTTTTGACTGGAAGATTAATAAACTAAGTCTTCTTCGCCTTCTTTTAATCAATGGATGACCTAGCTAGAGGAATGCCTACCCTATAATGATCTAGTGGGTTTGTGGTTAATTTTCATTATGTCTTGGCTCTTTAAAATCATTCCTTCTTGTTAAAAGGAAAAAATAAAGTGGCTAATTGATGTGTTAGATGATTGATTTGATTCCAATGGGGGGCCTTATTCTATATATAATCTTGCTACAAGAAAAAGTATAATTACTTAATTAGCTTCTCGGAGCTAGAAGAAGAATCTCGGAGGTTTGAGCATGTACATTTTATTTTGTAATTCTTTAATTCAACTCATGGGTCGCCTCTTTGGTCCAATCCAATCCTTTTCACAGCCATTAATGTCACAATGCACTGAGGTTACTTGATGCGAAAGCTATTTTGCAACTTGTTCACTAGTTCGATCGAAACCCAGAAATATTATCTTCTTCTGGTTGAAATTGTTTCTCTACCCCCCTTCTTTGATTCTGTGCTAGAGTCGCTTGATTCCATATAGGTTGTAATACAAGTTAGTGAGAAGTTTAATTTTTTCTTTACCTGAAACATTTTCAGCTAATCAATTTGTCATTTCAACTATAAACGTCGATTATAAGT